CCTCTTGTATTAGTCTGTTTCCTGTTGCTTATAATAGAATACTTGAAACTGGGTGATTTACAAAGAAATAAAATGTATTTCTTACAGTTTGGAGTCTGGGAAGTCCAAGGCCCAGGGAACATATCTAGTGAGGGCCTTTTTCTTGGTGGTGACTCTCCACAGCAATGCAGGGTATTGTATGGTGAATGGCTGAGCAAGAGAGAGCTAATCTGATCACTCACTCTCCTTATAAAGCCATCAGATCCAAACCCATGACCACCCATTAAACCATCAGTGGATTAATCCATTCATGAGGGTATAGTCCTTACAGTCGAATAACCTCTTAAAGGCCCCACTTTTCAATTACCATAATGGGATATTCCACCCTCTTGTAACATTGTTACAATGGAAATTAAATTTGCAATGAGTTTTGGGGGGATATTCAATCCACGGTACCTCTTTTCTAATATATTGCTTAAATGGCCATGACCTCCTGGAAACCAGGAATCCCTGGCATACTAAAGGGTTAGTGGTAGGATTTAGACCTAAACCATGGGATAGTAATGTTGTGGACATCTGTTAGGAAAGTTAAAAGAACTACCGTTAATTATATGTCTACCATGTGAGAGATGTTGCACTAATACTTCAGATAGATTATCACAAATGCTCAGGGTACAGCAATCCTTTGAGAGATTTCATTCTCATTTCACAGGTGAGAAACCGAGACTGAGTGATGTGAAAGAGGCCTCCCTGATAGAATGGTAGTTACGGACTCAGGATTCAAACTCATGTCTGTCTGGCTCCAAACTTTATATACTTTTCTGCCTCTCAACAACCACTTTCTGGGATAATATAGAAAATGATCTCTTGGAATTTGGTAAATCGGGAGATGGGGGGGGNGGGGGGGGTCAATTCAAATATTTTGATAATCCAGGATTTATGACTTAATTTGGCATCTCTCTGCTTTGATTTTATATTCTTTAGCTAGATGATCTCATCTTTAGAGGGCTCCCCAAAGGATTTTCTCATGCTTAGGTATGAAGGCAAGTGAGCTAATGGGGTTAAGTTAACTCTTAAAACCAAAGTTGAAAACTAAGGGGCTAAGAAACTTGGCAGGCAGGTGACCAAGTATGAAAACAAACTGTTCTTTAAGAGAAGATACACATTACAAATATCTTCTAGTCAGTGATGCATACCTTCACTTGGACAGCTTAAAGAGAATCCTTTGCCACATTACTGAAGAATTCACCCTCATTCCATAGCACATTATTTTGAGCTGGCTTTTGGATAGTCTTGAAAAGTCTCGAAAAAGGCAAGTCACTTTCTAATAAGACACTTGTAATTGAAGGGAATATATGAAAGGGATACCAGTGGAAGAAATCTCAGTCTCGTAAGGTAAACGGTCAACAGATAACAACACAGTGTGCTAGTGGTAAAGGCAGAAGTACACACAGAGTTTTATGGAAAAACAGAACAGCGGTAATCAAGTCTGAGGAATTTCTCATACAGAAGCTGAATCCAGGAGAATATAAACAATAATTAGTGAATGTATGATGGTGAATGAGAATCCAGTAGTGTTCAGGAATCTTTAAGGGAAGCATTCTGAAA